TTAAGTGGTTATCTGCGGACTTATTCAGTAAAAAATGTATGTGAAGTGAAGTAGCAGGGAGGACAAATGACATTCCATCTCTTGCGAACCTCTTCCATCTACTCCACATTCTGATTTCGCGCACTGGTATGTGAATGTTTAATCTAGAGCTATTCTACTCACTTTTCTACTTCCTAGCACTCCTCCGTTTTCGACTTTGCAATTCACAGCATTTTTGGATACGTCCTCTACCAATAACGAAATGAGTCCATCGTCGACGTAGATCCGTGATCCCTATAAGGCGATAAACCAAACCAATAACATTCCCACTCTTGAAGTATTGCTTCAATCTCACCTTTTTCACATCTCGAGGCAGATTGACATAGTCAACATAGACACATGTAGCTGTTCCATTGTTTTCGTATTTCTTGTCCGTAGTTAGCTGGATGCTCTTACCTTGCTCCAAAGTGACTTCTTTGTTCTAAGAACACCAGCAATTCACAATACAATTGTGCAAAATCTAACGAACCCCCGTCAGAACGCCCGTTCTTATCTCGGGGCCCTTTGTGTCAAGGGCAATAGCCACAGGATCGTAATGGTTCTCATTGGCTTCTCTGACTCTAGCGATGACTTCAGCATGCTCCTAGAGACGAGTTAATTTTCACTGGAGAAAATGCAACTTTTTTCTCACCTCGTAAGATCCATGACTAAAATTCAGTCTTGCTATATTCATTCCATTGAGGATTAGTTCTCGAAGCTTAGGCACCGTGTTGCATGATGGGCCTGTAGTTGATTAATGCTCAATTTTTCAACACAATTTTTTACTCGGGTCACGGACAGAGGAAATAGTAAGAGCCTACCTACTGTGCAAATTATGCTCGTCTTTCGGTGATGAAACTGTATTTCGGATAGTTTCAATTTGCACAACTGCTCAAGCTGGGTAGAGTGCTTGTCATGATAATTTCTAAAACATCACAGAAAAATCATCAACTGTAGATACAACATGAGGATTGACTAGTTGAGAGACACACTCGTGACAAATTAGTCAGGTGTAAATCTTAACTTACTCGATATTTCGCTGGTTAGGAGAAGAGGGCTCTGCCATGGTTGACGCTTGAAAGTGAGAAAGTGAAGCAAAACAACTCCCAAGGTATTTTAGAGAACCTCATAGTGCCCGTGATCGTCGATTTTTGCACTGAAACCAACCCTGAAATTGATAC